CTTAAGAGAACTGGCTCATTTGTTGGGGAATCGGACTTGTCCTGTAGATGCAGTAGTGCTGTTGCAGCATTGATGGAGTATTCACCCATTCTCACGGCAATTCGTACGTATTTTACGAGGTGGCTAATTCGTATGAATGACCAACGCATTCTCATCCTTTGGCGTCATATAGGTGACGCCATATGACATTTCGTCGAAATCTTACGCACATGGCATCCTTTAGCGTCAATATAACACGCACTGTTATGGGTAGGTTTAGGTCTGGGGTAGGGTACGGTTATGACGCCTTGGGATCTGCGTCTGATATTCACGCTAAACGATGCCATGTGCGTTGGATTTAGACGAGCGTCACCTGTATGACGCCTTGGGTTCTGCGTCTCATATTCATGCTAAAGGATGCCATGTGCGCATAGGCGGAGTTTGACATTCGAGCCAGGGGGGGGCAAAAAAAAAATCATTGTAGCATTCATTCATTCATTTAGTAATCATTAGGCGCGTTTCCATTACAGATTTGCGCAAAACCTTTGCGACTTTTTCTAAATGTCAATAAAAAAACTATTGCGAAATGACGGCGTTTCCATTAATTAACCGATGTTATGCGACTAAAATGTATTTTTTTCCTCTCGCGATAAGTCATTCCAAAAATCATGGTAAACGGATGTTGGTAGGTTTAAAGCCTAGGCTATATCACAGCCACCGCACTAGACATTATTATTATTAATGGAAGGAGACGTGGTGTTATCCAAGCATTAATGGCAGACCCTTATACTGCGAACGGCACATAGCCTATAGCCTAAGAGTTCCTGGCTGTTTCTCCCTCATTTCTGCTCCGAGGTCTTGATTGTGGCATTTCTTTGAGGTTTAGAATCCAGTATTCCTTTAATTATTGTTTCTTTTATGAATTTAATAAAGAACTCTGTCTCGTATTATGTCCAAACGGTCAGTGTACCTTTTGTGTCCATTCGTTTTTCCTTATTTAACCCGTAATTGCAAAACGAAAAATAAACGGTTGTATTTTTAAAACGCAAAGTCGAACACCAAATTTTAATTTGAACTGCTACACACCAAATGCTGCGCAAAATAAATAATATGGACGAATTTTCAGATTTTTGTTTATGACTTTTTGCCCCTTTATTAAACATTTAAAATATTGACAAATTAATATGAAAAAAAAATGTAGATTTAACTGGTTTTCTAAGGCCAAATTAGAACCTGGAAATATTTTTCCCGTAGTGCTGAATGAGAAGATAACCACAGGCTACAGAAAGGTGATTTATAGGTGAGTTATAGGCTATAATAATTAATAAATGTGTCTGAAAAAATAACAAGGCATTTTAATTGTTTATTAATAAAAAATCAGTGTCGGCTAAAACATATCTCCATCTCCGCTGTAAGGCGGATGCACCTTTAGAGAGAAATGCACCTCTCATACGGATTACATAATCAGAAGGTATTAGCTTTCGATTCGAATTTGTTCGTTTTAAAGTGGACATTTCAAGCTTTAGCTTAGGCTATTTTGTTTCAGTTATAGCGCTTCAGTTCACGGAGACCATGAAGCGCGCCTGATTGTTTTATTTTATTTATCAAAAGCACAACGTTTTCTTGTTATTGTGAGTGTACACAAATAAAAGTAGTTGCGAATAATGTATTATTATTTTCTGTATGACCAGAAATGATAGAGTAGGCTAGCCTATTTTAAGTTGTTTCCACTGTTGATAGGAAAATGCAAGTGTTCGCGCCCGCGCCCCGCGCCTCCGTGCCATCCAGTGCGCGTATTCCGCACAAACACTTGAATATGCGTCAAAATCTTGTTTAGCCTATTTGTGATCATCTTAGCCCTGTATTATGAATGATATGTGACGAATTGCTTTGTTCCTTTTTTTTGACAAGCGTCTTCTACATATGTAGCCTAATAAATGTTATAATAATGATGATAATTATTATTATTATCCCCGCGTCTTCTCTAAGTCAGCTGACTGTAAATGCGCAAAACCTGTTTCCATTGCAGTTTTTTTTTTACTAAAGCAGTATATAAAATCAGATGTGTATTACCTACCACCATTTAGTTGTTTTGTGTTATTTAAAATATGTATAATATATATTTTTTTTAACAATGCAAAAAAAAAATTTAAACGGGTTTCAGCCACCAGGGGGGGCAATGCTCCCCCTGCCCCAATCCCCCCCCCCAAGGATCGTCATCTAACTGACGTTAAAGGGTACCCCAAAACGTCGGATGTTGACGTATGGTCAAAAGCGTCAGTCATATGACGTCTTGGGATGAGACTGTGTTAGTGTGGCAGCATTGATGGAGTATTTTAGTATAATGTGTTCCATCCGTTTCAGTGAAAGAATGCACTTGCAAGTGAAGGACACACTATTTATTTCCGAATTGCATTATTTATTTATTGATTGATTGATTTCTGCATGCTTTTCGGATGCAGTTCACAATCCCAGAGGTAACTCATTATTTTTACAATGTGCTTTGCAACCCAAAGAACCTGAATGCAAATGGGACACGTCTGAACAGAAGAGTGGATTCCGTGATGAAGTGGATTTTTATAGAATGCTCTCGTACGACCCTCAAAACAAATTAAGTGTGTCGTGTTAACAGACACTTAAGCAGAAACGGTGACACAAGACAATCTTGTTCTTTTAGACTGTAGTGCTAATGACACAAACAATATGTGTATGTCTTCCTCAGGTTCCTCGTGAGCGAGAGAGGGGTGGAGGGGATGTTCAGAGGGGAGATGAGATCAGAGAATGTCTTTTCTTCTTCGGCGCATGTAAATGAATGAACCGGGAGGGAAGCCCCCTCCGCATAGCCTTTGACCACAGAGGGAGACAAGCGTCTCGATTTCAAAAGCCACGAGGCCACCTGAGCAGATTAGCTGAACGCCGAGTCGCTGTGGATTAGCATGCGACCCTTTCCGGCTCAAAGACTAACAGCCCTGTCTGTGCATACTGATGGCTGAATGTCCTCCCTGAATCTTTATTAGACACCTTTGATTCTGCACTCACCTGCGCAGAATCCCAATATGCCCCGTCTGACTCCTCGCCAGGACTGTTAAAATGTTCCCTTTTTACAAGCGCCCAACAAACTACCTTGACCCCACTAACCCTTAGACGGGGTGGATGGGGGTTAAAAGGAGGTAAATGTTTTTTTCCCTTTAAGCATTCCCATACTAATTCTTCTTTCACCTTGTGTATTGTGCATTTATTCAAATCTTCTCACCGAGAAAAGCCCGTAGCTCTCGAGCCACACGCGCAGCGTTCTGTGTTCAAACAATGTTCAGGGGTAGATTTGGTGTCACCCCTGGGTTCACATTCGATTTAATACCTTTGCTATTCACCTGTCTGCTGCTTTTGCATCTGCTCAGGCAAATGCATACGAAAGCCATGGATGCGAGAAACGTGAAGTGACAGGGCTAGAATATCACTCTTGTGACATAAGGCATAAAATAAAGATATGCTTTAAATGAGCTTTCTGATTTAATTGAAAAATGAACATGTAAAGGGATTGTCAATACACGTTAAGCTCAATCGACAGCAAAAAAAATTATCCGTCCCTCTTTTTCTTAAAAAAAAAAATCAAGATTACAAATATGCAGTTAAAATGGAAGTGACTGGCACCAGTTTTTGGATGATTTAATTAATGCTTACACATAGGCTTACACAACATCGTTTTCAACTAAAAACGTAAAAAATGTTATGCGTTTTGGCCGTTCGTTTACACGATAATGGCGTTCTGGGGGCCTGAAAACGCAAACTTTTGAAAACGGGTTTCAAAGTGCACGTTTTTGAAAAGGCTCTCCGTGTAAACAACAAAACCGCGAATCTCTGAAGATCTCTTAAGTGTTTCAATCGCCATCTAATGGCCTGGCAGCAGAATACAGCGTTTTTAGTCTTTTTCGCGGATCCGTGTGAATGGGGATCGTTTCGACAATGGTGTCGTCTGTACGCGGAAAACTCAAAGGAAAAACTTCTCCGTTTTAAGCATATCCAGCCCGATCTCACGGCAATTCGTACGAATTTTACGAGGTGGCTAATTCGTACTTATTCATACGACCTCACTCGTACAAATTCGTACGATTTTTGCTAATTCGTACATATTTTACGAGTTACCAAATTCGTATGAATTCGGACGAATGACCTACCCCTGACCCCGCCCCTAAACCTACCCATCACGTGGGTTTAGACAAATCGTACGAATTCGTACGAGTGAGGTCGTATGAATTAGTACGAATTAGCCACCTTTTAATCACTCGTACGAATTGGTCGTGAGATAGCGTTGGCATATCGTCGTCGTGTAAACGTACCCTATCTCTGCGAAGTAGACTCAAATATAATTTGATTTATTAACAAAGAAAACTCAGGCACTGCAATAACAACGAGCACAAATGAAACAGTGTGTGACTGTGAGGAAAAGAGGAACTTAAATACACAAGGTGACAAACTTAATAATAAACAGGTGTGCTTGTTAAATGAGTTTCCATGACAACTATAGTGGCGGGAAAACTAGAACAAAGGAAAGAGGTAACTGAAGAGTCCTTGAAAATGAAATTAATACTTACTAAACATATTATTTCAGCTGAAAAACTATTTAAATTCTATTTGTTTACTTATTTTTGGATAAAATGACGTGCAATTTTAAACCTTGAAACTGTAGAAAGTCAAGTTAATTTATTGTGGCCATATTATTGAAGTATCTTAATGCGTGTGAATTGCCCCATTCACTTCCGTTGTAAGTGCATCACTATAAACTAAAGAAAAAGAGGAGCGAGTGGAAATTAATGTTTGTATTAACCAACATTTGGCATAAATACATTCGAATATCAGGAACTGAATGTCATGCAAACAGATTCTGGGTTTTTGTTTGCTTTAACGCAGACTCAAGCAATCCTTCAAACAGAGGTGTGTGTTCACTTGCTTCTTACACATGGCTGGTGTGGGCAGCTCCGGCCAAACGGGGGTGATTTATGGAGAAAGGTGAGGGGTCTTACCATTACACCCAGACAGTCAGGCGGGTGAAGAGCCTGACAGGAGGAAACTGGATCCAAGTAGTAACTCATCCTACGAGCTGGATCTGCAGTGATGGAGGCCTGCGGACAAGACACACACATGACCACACGAGAGGGCACAGACCTCAATCCATCAGACACTGTTTATCCGAGAGACAAGCCTCCGCCAGGCGTGCGGTTAACCTGGATCAGTAATAACCTGCCACTCAAACATATAAATGACACGGGGTGACCCGAACGCAGCAGAAGGGCGGGAACTGATGGTGAAGCGATAGAGCGTTAATCTATTGCAATGTTATGTTGCTTAATCAAACGGACTGGGTGGTGATCAGATGAATCACAGCAGAGTCATCATACGTTTTATATTTACATGACTGCAAAAGAAAACACGGAGTGATTGTGCAATTGTTTAGTGACTCTGTCCATTTTAAAATAATAATAAATTAATAAAAATAGTGGTAAGCTGACACGGGTCGTTAGTTAGATACCGACAGAAGTTTGCTTAGCTATCTAAATTTGGACATTGCTTAATCTTCTTTTAGGGTTTAAATACAGTACTATAACCTAACCCTAACAGAAAACTTTATTGCATACTCACCTGTAGGACACACCTGTAAAAATTGGATATCAAACATGTATACATATTTAAATGTTTTAATAATTTAAAATATACACATATAAACAGTTATGAGTAGCCTAAATATTAACTCAAATACACACTCAAAATTTTTAAAACAGAATAGATCTTGTTCATCACCAAGCAGGTTATCGGCTGAAAATATCGAAACAGCCAGATATGGAAGGATTAATTGGTTTCAATATAGTAGTAATAAATAATAATAGTATCTAGTGTTGCCAACTACTTTTAATGGAAAGTAGCTGCTCAAAAAAGTTGTTAAATGTCACTAGATGACGTAATGCGCCACCTCTTTGCATTTGTTTTCTCTCCTAATCTGTGCTCACACTGTATTTTACTCTATAGGGTATAATCAAATGTTTAATAAAGCTGTTCTCATTTACATATTTTCTGTCAGACAACGAAAGGAGTATGATATATAGTGATCTGACTACAGATCAGTCAAAAAAAGTCGCTTTTTTATCATGGCAAAGTCGCTTAATTGTAGAGCAATGCTAAAGATTGACCTCTCCAGAGACAGTCCAGTGCCTGGTGTGTGTCTCTTCTTCCCCCGCCCCTCTCATGCTGTCAGTGTCCTCTGACTGCCAGCGCTTTATCACTGTTTTACTAGAGTAACTGGGCATTAGCAGGAGCTGGAGCCCAGCTGTGAGGGTTCAGTTTCTGGAGGGAGTTCATGATGCACACACATGGACAAGCTGGCCAACAACTGAAGATTCACCTCAAACAGCAGTGTGTGTGTGTGTGTGTGTGTAAGAGAGAGAGTGAACATCTTGAAGTGCTTAGAGAGTGTGGCAACTGATGTGACTCTCAGTCAAAGGTTGAGTTGACAGTCACAGATTGATCTTCCCGAGGTTACCACAACAGTCTCTTATTTAATGTCACTATTCAAAATAGCAAATATAGAACAGAATCTAACTTTAATTTTTAATATTGCATGTGCTTTTATAGATTAGTAGCCTGTATGCAAATTATTTGTATATCAATTTCATGCAATTTTAATAACATTTTAAACATACAGAATGTAAAATCGAAAAACATCTTCCCTTTTTCTTCATACAGTTTACAAAGACAAACATTAGACTTCAAAAGTCACATTAGAAGTGATAAAGTTGTAAAACGTTTAAAAATAAACTTTTCTCAGATGAAAAGACTGTTATTATTACCAAAACGCCACATTCAGATTCCTCACAGTGTGTCAGTTTTGAGCTTTGTGAAGAACGGCGCGATTCATCCTGATCCAAAAAGCAAGTTGAGAGCGAAGCGCACGCGTGTTTTACGCGCTCAGAAACTGTCCTATAAACCCATTTACTACAACAAAACACCAGTCGAGGAATTAAGCAGACTTTTGTCTTACCGTTATTCGGTGGATTCGCTGAAGGCTGTCTGCGGTGGGCTGTCAGATCGGTGTGTACCTGGCTCGTGTTTGGAGAGGAAGGATAAAGCGCACTTGCTGGAGTCCCACCCTCTCCAATCACTGTCTGCGCTCCTCTCCAAAACACGCAGGACTTTACCACATCAAACAAGTGTCCAGCGATTGATGTGAGGAGCAAGACTGTAGATGGGAACAATGCTTATGGGAGTATTGACTTTAGATTTTTTTTCTTCCGTTTTTTTTTTCTTTCTTTAAATCACATTTTGGTTGACAAAATTGTCATATTCAGATTCACCACAATAAATGACATTAATGAACGTTTAAAGTGATATTTTGAGTCAATTGCCTAAAAAGTTTATATATACACTTTTGAGTCTTTTTGAGTCAAAGTTTTGAGTCTTTTAAACCATTAAAAATATCAAGTATTACTAATTATATATATATATGTGTATGTATATTTATATATATATATTACACTTTATTCTTTATTTTAAGGTAATGTTTACATACTCAAATAAGTTCTGAGTAATATTTATGAACTATTTATGTATAGAGCAACGGTTAGTGTTTGGTTTAGGGTTAGTTACTTGTAATTATGCATCATTTACTGTTATTACTATAGTAAGTACATGCAGTGACGTGCAACTACATCACCTTAAAATTAAATTAGCAAAAGTCCTAATTTTTTTCTGTAGAAGTGTAGAAACAACTTTAGTCACATTTTACTTGCACTGTAAAAACTTCTATGACAACATTACATTGCTTTAACTCATCAAAATGAGTACATTTATAAGCTATCCAAGATTCAACGAATTTTTTAAGTCAGTTTAATGTAATTTAAGTTGAAATTACAAACATCCAAGTTGATTGTACTTACAAATTAAAGGCAGCCGCACTGTTTTTGTTTTACACACATGATTAGAGCTGTTATTAGTTATTCACACAAGCTCTTCCTGGGCTTGACGGCGTAACAAAGGTTCAAGAGGAAGTGGAGCGAATGACTTTTCCCAGTTCGTGCGCCAGTGGCCGACGGTGTCCAACAGCCTGCGCTGATCCGGGGACTGCGTGGAGGAAAATGTCCATATAGAGAGGAAAGGGAAGAGAGAGACGGCCGGGGGTCACAATGAGTGGATTTCCTCCGGTCACGTCTGTCCAGCAGGTTGAGAGGCAGGGAGAGGTTTAGGGAGCGGTTTTGTTTGGACACACTGTCCAAGGTCCCTCTTTACGCTGCTGGTGGGAGGAAGCCAGTTTCAGGCCCGAGCGATGAAGTGCTGCTGAGTGAGGATGAGTTTTGGATAGGAGAAAAGAGGCTATTTATCGTGCCTGGTTCCTAAATACAGCTGCATTGCTTTGACCAGATGAAGAAAAAACGATGAGGCCTGGGTGGCCGTGACCTGTGTGTGTGTGTGTGTGTTTGTATATTCATGTGTGTAATGGAGAAACACTCCACCTGTGTGTGACAGAATACAGTGCGAGAGAAAGCGTGGATTGTCCTCTTTATGATCTGATCTGGCCTTGTTTGAAACAACAGCATATTTACTCAGAGTGTAATCACATCTGTGTGTTTGTTATGTGCACGAGTTATTTGGGCATCATTGAGATACTATTATAGTCTTATTAATAGCTTGAATTTGTTTGTCATTTTCTATTTTCATTTTTTAGTAAGTTTGTGATTTTTGTCCCTTTTTTGTCTGCAAGGTTTTTATTAACTTTTTATTTCAGTTTGAGTTTTACTTAACTAGTTCGTCGAGACAAACTTTTATGTTGGCTTAAGTTTGAAAGTTTTATAAGCTTCCTAACATATTATGTTGCTAACATATTTTATCATGTTGTTAGCATGTCTTATAGAGCTTGTGCCTAGCATTATTTTGCATTTTGCTACCATGTTTTAGCACGTGATTAAGCATGTTGTGAGCATGTTTTAACACATTGATATGATTTAGCATGTTGCTAGCATGTTTTACCATGAATTAGTATATATATGTTGCTAACATGTTTTAACACTTTGCTAGCATGATTTAGCATGTTGCTAGCATGTCCAATGCTAGTTTCTAGGCTCTGCTAGAGATAGATACTTGGCGGATGAAGCTTAAATACTCTAATAGAGTTAATGTATAAAAGTTTTCACCCCCTCAATAACAGTCTATGCGATTTTTTGTTGTTTTGCTCATCTGTTTAGATCCGATCAGTTAGAAAAGTCTGACCGACTGACTCGAGTTTGTTGGTTGTAGCTTTAAAGCTCTAGGAGAAGATACAGACTAAATTTAGGGGTCGTTTACACGATACCAAGCGTAAAATATTGAATGCGTTTTGCTGTTCATTTAATCAACAATACAGTTTTGGGGGCCTGAAAACGCAAACTTTTGAAAACGGGTTTATAATGAGCAAGTTTTTGAAAACTATAACATTATCATCTCCATGTTAATTACAAACACGCAAATTAGTGAAAACGTCGATGTCATACGCATGTGTGTTAGGTTCAGTCTATAGTCGCGTAGTGTTTCTTTATAAAGTGACATCGCCACCTACTGGCCTGGAAGCAGGAGATGTTTTCGCAGATCCATGATAACATTGTTGTCCGTACACGAAAAATGTAAACGTTTTTAGCTTTTAGAACACCGTTGTTTTATTATTAATCTTTGTCTCAGAAGAAGAAAATTGGATGTGCTTAAATAAGATTTCAGTATGTTGGCTTGACAAAATAATAGCTAAAATAAAATAAATTCACTTTTTTAATACTTTATTTTATTTCAGTTGACATAAAACAACGTTTTTTATGTTTTTTGTTAACTGTAACCCTGGTGAATACAGCATTATTTCAATAAAATAATTTTCCAGACAATTATTTTTTATTCCAACAGCCCACGAGAGTGCTGAGTTTCTATCAGCGGGCCGTTCGCATCTCGTCTGAAACACCTTGCGGATGAGTGATAAGACCTCCACGGCTGCCCCACGCGCTCATTTGTTTGAATTAGAAAGTGCGTGGTCAAAGATCTTCCTTGAAAGTAAATCTGGAGGTGCTTTCAAGTCCAAGGTGAGAAGCGTGAAGAAGTGGCATGTCTCGGGGGGGGGATCACTCTGAAGCTGCGGGGCAGAGCAATCCCAGAGGGCTGAGGCAGGGGCAACACATCAGGGGCAAAAGGGTAGATGCGTGACTGATGGCCATGTGCTGAGAGACAGGAGAATAGATGCACCCCTTCTGATGAGCCAAATTGAATAAAAGGCAGTGAATGTGATCCAGATCTTCCTCATGTGCCCACAATACTGTTTCAATTAACATGATGAGTGCTTCAAAAGAGCTGCACATGATCCAGCTCTCCAAGCCTCACGCCTTCCTTATCACTCCATACCTTTCATCCCAGCCTCCTCTCTTTCACATTCCCCTCCTCTCTTTCCCTCCGCACTCCCTCCTCTGTTTGGGGGACGCTTTTGTTATATTTAAGGGGAATTTGTTATAGTTTAACTAGTTTAGTTTGTGTTTACAAAGTTTCAGAATTTCTGAATTCGTGATCGTTCACTCCATGGCTTATTAACTTCCTCTGACAAACTTATAAAAGGTTTTAAAATCAGGAAAAAATACATTTTCATGAGACATTTTCATTTAAAATCATGTTTTCGATAACTTAAGACGAAGAATGTGCACTCACAATCATTACCGTCATGTACAAGCATTTTTCACACAAAAAACAACACCAACAGGGATATGCAGGAGAGGATTAGAAAGGCAATTGTTTTTTTGATCTGAAACATTATTCATATTCATATTTTTTGGTATTTTATCATTTTTTATTTAAAGTTAATTGACTGCTAGCTACAAGCAAAAATGTTTTTTCAAGCTTTCAAGTAATCAGATGAGGCACAAATTTAAATCCATTGGATGGATGAATGGATTATGGATAGATGGATGGATAGATAGATAGATAGATAGATAGATAGATAGATAGATAGATAGATAGATAGATAGATAGATAGATAGATAGATAGATAGATAGATAGATAGATAGATAGATAGATAGATAGATAGATAGATAGATAGATAGATAGATAGATAGATAGATAGATAGATAGATAGATAGATAGATAGATGAGAATGAGTCCTCTATGTGCCTACCTGGTTAAATAAAGGTTAAATTAATTTTTTTTTTTTTAAATAGATAGATAGATAGATGGATGGATGGGTTTGGGTGGATGGATGGATGGATGGATGGATGGATGGATGGATGGATGGATGGATGGATGGATGGATGGATGGATGGATGGATGGATGGATGGATGGATGGATGGATGGATAGATGGATGGATGGGTTTGGGTGGATGGATGGATGGATGGATGGATGGATGGATGGATGGATGGATGGATGGATGGATTGATTGATTATGGATAGATGGATGGATAGATAGATAGATAGATAGATAGATAGATAGATAGATAGATAGATAGATAGATAGATAGATAGATAGATAGATAGATAGATAGATAGATAATGGATAGATGGATGGGTTTGGATGGATGGATGGATGGATGGATGGATGGATGGATGGATGGATGGATGGATGGATGGATGGATGGATGGATGGATGGATGGATGGATAGGTGGGTGGGTGGGTGGATGGATGGATGGATGGTAGGTAGGTAGATAGATAGATAGATAGATAGATAGATAGATAGATAGATAGATAGATAGATAGATAGATAGATAGATAGATAGATAGATAGATAGATAGATAGATAGATAGATAGATAGATAGATAGATAGATAGATAGATAGATAGATAGATGAGAATGAGTCCTCTATGTGCCTACCTGGTTAAATAAAGGTTAAATTAAATTTTTTTTTTTTAAATAGATAGATAGATAGATGGATGGATGGATGGATGGATGGATGGATGGATGGCTGGATGGATGGATGGATGGATGGATGGATGGATGGATGGATGGATGGATGGATGGATGGATGGATGGATGGATGGATGGATGGATGGATGGATGGGTTTGGGTGGATGGATGGGTTTGGGTGGATGGATGGATGGATGGATGGATGGATGGATGGATTGATTGATTATGGATAGATGGATGGATGGATAGATAGATAGATAGATAGATAGATAGATAGATAGA